CGAATGTACAAAAAACCGAAAACGTTGCAAAATATTCTGATTACGAAATAGTATCATTTCGATTCGATACGAGTGACATGACGATTCATTAAAATTAAGTATTTTTAAGTTAAATCGCATACGCGTATATCGGGTGCCATAAAAAGTCGCTGTGTTTGGCGCAACGTTAATGTCACCAGGTATTAACTAGCGAATAATTCTGTTTCATGATAATATTATTTTTGAAGGTAAAAAATGCGCATTGTTTTATCTTTTTTCTTTTTTTTTTTTTTTTTTTTTTTTTGGTACGCGGTCTGTTGAATATTTCGCACTTGTATAGATGTCACGAAATCCTGACTCGATGTTTGTTGCGTGTTGATTTCGGGAAACTGGAAAATTGTTATCTCCGTCAGTTTACGCGAAAACCTTGGATCCTTCGGGTCGACCACTATCGTGGGTAATAAAGTTAATTCGATAGATCGAGTCAGGATTACGCGCAGCCACTCGCTTGTGAGGGTTCTCCGAATAATTTAGAATTAGTAATACATACTTGTATTGTTTAGTTCGCAAATTTATAATAAAGTTGTGAATTTTATTACTAATACACACAATCTTCCTTTACACAATTTCATCGCATCTTTATACTTGTACACGAATCTCTCGCGTTGTTGGCGTATGCGAAAGGAATGAAAAATGAAACGAACAGGAACGCGAAGGGACTTGACATACGGGAAACAATAGAAGTGACTCGATGCTGGGAAGTGAAAGAAAAATGTTCGGAAGAATCAAGGAGACGGTGTTTTGATGGTACATATTGAAATTATTAAAGTGTATAGATAAAATGGACGAAACGAAGACGAGTGGAAAGTAACGTAATGTAACGTAACGGAGAACGAGGTGGTACGTGAAATGAGGAACGTTGCGTTGAGCAGACTATCCGCTCAGTCCGAGACCGAGAGTCAGTCATCTGCGATACTCGAAACGCGTGAGATACTGTAAGGTGTGTGACGGTGACGATGCCAGTGTTGTGTTCTCATAATTGTCAGTATCGATTTCGGTTTCGGTGACGGTGACGGTGACGATACACACGTGCCCGTACTTAGCACGTATATGTACTAGAGTTCGAATTACGTTAACGTACAATATACGGGAATCGACCACGTATTCACTCATTCCTTCCATTAATTACATTCTGTTATAGTTCCATTAGTTTATAATTCTGAACGAAAATTGTCATGGAACGACGTCAACTATGAACTTATAAAAGGGATCGTGAACACGAGAAATCAACACCTCGCAATAGTTGTCGGAGAATAGTAAAAAAAGTGCGGAAATCCATCGGTATAAAAAAATAAAGCAGGAGCAAGGAACTGGTTGAATTCCTATTGAATTTTCATTCCAACAACAGCAAAGAACACCGCAGTGGGCGCAATTATGCCGTAGCACTGTTAATCAGCGTGCATCAAAATTAGCCCAGTTATAGTACAACGACCGTTCTCTGGCGGTAACAACTCTATAAAACAAACAAACGTACTTATCCACGACAAGTCGAAGGTATTAGCTTGTGCAATACTTGATTTTCAACATTTCTAATTGTCTAGTAAGTTGATTCTCGGGAGTTTTCTTGCATCTTTCCGTCACTTGCATTTCGTTATTTTTGTAGAACTACATATTTGATATCGACATTGAGGTATATCGTTACTTGTCTGCTGCGTATTTTGTTATTTCATTACAGAGATCCAGATGTAGGACTGCAATAGTAAATATAACGAATTTAATCGACAAATATAAACGATCATCATCTTTTCCCTTCCACTTTTTTGCCTCCTGTAGTTACTGTCTCTGTTCTTCCATTAACTGGGAACCGATTTAGAGTATTTAAAAATAATATGGAATTACTGATAGATTGCCAGGACTTTTTGAAGGACAGATTTTCTGCCAGTTAATAATATTTTCCTCGTACACGGACGTAAGAACAAGTTGTACTCACGACTGGTTTTTGAAGTTGAATCCTGTGTACTCGGTTCCTGCGGTATTTGAGCCGATCGCTTCCCAGGTTCCTCGATTTCAAAGCTCGATTTGTGGAACATCTGTATAAAATATCTTGTTTCGTTTCACTTATTAAAAAGATACTCTACACTTTTCATCAAGGAAAATGAATTTTCAAATTTCTTCCGTATCAGCAACACTTCTCGAATTGTTAATAAACGATGACGCGAAGTTCACTCTTGAACTTTCGATGTTGGTTTTGGAGATTTCGATGGATCGTTGAATCTATGTTACAGGCAGGTGCTTTATCGATACTACAATTACTACAATTTTTTAAATCTTGATCTTTACTTCTTATTGTTGTCTCGAGTTTTTCAGTTTATGAGCAGGTCACTCCCATTTCCTTATAGATCTAAATAAACTCACCGTATAAATATACCATACAGACAATAGTTCAGGAAGAATGTTTAGCAACGCTCAACATTGAGACAAATACAATCACCGCGCACACATCTTTCTAATTACGAACGTGTAGAAGGAACACTAGGTACTTTTACGAAATTTTTTGTGCTATTTCTGACAAAACTTAAAGTATCGAAGCAACCGTCGTTTTAAACATTTGTTTCTACACGATAGAATATGACGGTAGAGGAAACGCTCGGTGATCGTAGAAAGAACGAAAGGAAGAAAAGGAAAGTAAAGATAACAATCCTTGTGTATACAAGTAAACGCCAACAAATTCAAAAACCATATGAATAGGGCGGGAACGATGGGCATGGGACTAAAATCGAATACGAAAAGGGGTGAATGAATAAAGTAAAGGAACGGTAAATTGTCGAGAAAGAAGAAGTACGTATATGTATAACAGAGGTGTTCCGTGTGATCTTTTAATCGCGACCTGTTTTTACAGCAGGGCCTAACGGTTCCGACGAAAAACGTACGCAAATCGAGTACTTGATTGAAACTCACGATCCAATTGATCAAACCAGTCTCGTTCGATTCTGATTGCCATGCACGCGTCGACGTCGATCAAGTAAGGAATGACAGCAAAACTGTACCTACTGACGTACACATACATATGTACATGAGAATACATAGTGGACAGAATTTGTATTCTGTGTTACGCGACTCGAACGACCTACCTTTCGGTGCTCCTCGAAATTTTTTTCAATACGAACGGTCAGACGTGTTTCAAACACATAGAGTTTAGTTTAACTTATTTATTGTTAGTGTAACGAAAAAGTGGAGCAAGTACGATGTGGTATTCTCGCTACAATTACTATTACCATTACCATTACCATTGTCATTATCATTATCATTGCGATGTTAAAAATATATTATAATCATTACGTTAATCCAAGTATCTACGATTAATCAATCGTGTAGTTGAATCGATCGAAATTAACCGTTGGGATTGGCATCATTTATAAATAAACAATTTAAAAGGAACAGCTATCCCATCTCGGTTAAACAAAAAATTGTGAATGTTCGTTTGTTTCACGGTAGAAATGCACGCTTGTACTGGTGCATTATTTACGTGCGACATATCGTAGCCTAAATCATTAACGAAAGCTCGATTACTCCGAAAACCGATATGCATTTAGTCTGTTTCATTACGATAGGTCAACAAGTTCTTCTCAAGTGTACAACCACTTGAGGAACCCTGTCGTAGGTTAAACACGTTCTGCAACTAATTCGTGGTTACAACAACCACTGGTGCAGGTATTTCCATACAATCATCGTTTCAACATCAATCACGCATACGAAGATGTCGTGGTACCTAACGGAAACCACCTTAATTCGCGATCCTTTCTATGGCACCATGTTTAACCCGGTTTCATTTCGTCCCCTATTTTCTAGCGAACATAAAAACGACGGGCAACCTGATCTGACTGAATTCCAATTAAACAGCGAAAATAAATACATCGGAAGCGCGAGTTTATGTATACCACCTCCCTATCTTTCAACAGACACGCAATCCGGTCATTCGATAGTAACAGCTCATCGAAAACATCAGTGTTACCGGAGTGGAGAAGATATGGAAAGGACGAGAAACGTAGTGGCATTGCTAGGACTGATTCTGTTCCTCAAAACATCGAACGTCGAGGGCGACGTCGACGGACATTCGTATCCAAGATATTCTCAATCTCATCATAGGCAAAAGAGACTGCTTTGGGTAACTAATGACGGTCGAATTGCTTTACCGCCAGGCACGATAATGACCATAACTCCGACACTAGCGTTGCCATTTGTTAGATATCCGCCCTATGGTTTTCTCAGCAACATGACCATCAGTCTTCCTTTTACTAGTAAGTAAACGTCGAGCTGTTTTCGTCTGCTCGACACTCGTTGCATCGTACCAGAAACATCGATCATGAGTCCAGTATTATCTCTTTATGTTTCTTTCGAACACAGTCGATTTCGACAAGCTTGGTCTGACTGACAACGAAAACCCTTACGGGGTTTTACCATCAGCATTCGACTCTACCGGGAGGGATCAAGGTTCGAGCACGGCGGAATTTATGGCGGCGTTTGTAAAGCGTAGTTTTAGTAAAAGAGAAGCGATTACAGATTTACCAGAAAACAACGCGTTTCGCGGAGGCGAAAGAGCACTGTTATATAGTACGGCCGAGGATATGCTTGTGAATTTCGGCTTGAACGGAAAAGCGTGTCTCCTAAGAGCGATCTGCGAGGTCCAAGGTCATCCTTTAAGTAATTTCGGTCTAATTGGGGAAATGCTCAAGCTCTTTTTCACGTGAGTTTCGAACGATACGTGAACGAACGTTTCTCAAAATTATTAATTATTTCTTTTCTGTTTTCCCTTTCTTTTATCGTCTCTGCGTATTTCTGAATCCCGAAATATGTAGACGTCGATTTCTTTTAGAAGTGCGTACAAATTTCGTAAATACATATATAATTTCAGAGCAAGCAAATCACCGTTCGCGAATCTTTTAACGGACTACGTCGAAGCTGAAAACCGAGGAAAGTTCCATGGAGAATGTTGGCCTTATTTCAAAGATTGTCCAAAGTCGTTGTTCCGTCCATCAGAGAACAGATACACGTAAGTACAGTTTGAAATACAAAACGTGTTGAATTGCTTTTAACGTGTACAGCATACAGTATCTACGTCGGTTCATTACCACGACACATGATTGGTCTATCGTTTTTGCAGAAAAGATGCTTTTCACAAGGGTACCGACAGCGTTGAAACGATCGAGCGAGGGCAGAAGAAGGGGCAACTTCCTGGATATACGAAACGCTTGTTACACCCTTCTATGTAAATATATCCAAGCGACTATACAAATCAAAGGAAGCATCGTTGAAAAGCAAAACAAAAGTTACGCGGTCGACTCGTCAGGAACCTAAATTCATGTGCATTTCACGTTTTATTGGCCTCTGTGACCAATGTTACACGCAAACATACACGCGACTCTCTATCGCCATATTATTTTCTAGTAATATTATCTTAGACGCTATCAACACGTCACAATAATTATGTATATCTATAAACTAACAGTATAACTATAAACTTTAGTAATATTATGGCTTAATTAATGAACAATAAATCTACGTATATAAGCGAATAATAAGTATGCATGTACCTGTATGACCGCGATTTGCGATATCGTTTCGTCGGATCACTTTTCTTTTTATAAAAGCGCATTCAAGGGAATGCATATATTTATTAAGATTATACATTTAAGCATAATGCATACTTAATATGTTATTAATTAATTTTTTATTTCGTTATTTAATTTTTGTTACGACTTGATGTAAGCTTGCGCAATCCGAAGCATAAGTATGTAAATACCTCCTATGTACATACATACATATAATTGTATTGTGCAACTGATGCAAGTCGATTTTATATCATGTTACCGACTCACTCATACAATTTTAATGTACGCCAACGAGAAAAAACGAAATTTGAATTATTTGCGGCTTATACGTTCCACATTTATATACATGCATAATGTACATATAATAGGTAATAGCATACATAATGTACATAATAGGAACGTAAAAGAATAAAAGATTTCAAACAATAAATGTACCTTCCCTGATGATAACCAGTTGTATACAAGTTTCGAACAAATTGCCAGCGATAAATGACAAATAATCTTGAATCTAATCGAATCGGATATATATACATCTATACATATATAAATATATATACATAATTTGTACATATATGCATAACTTATCATTGATAAGATGATATATACAGGTTGATTCAGAATGACAGGTCAATCAAACAGGATGTGCAGTGAATGCTCGCTCGCTCGGTGAGTGTGAGTCTGGTTAATACGCGATAGAATTCAATATGTTCTCAATATGTCAGCTTGTCAGATGAATAATTATACGCTGAACAAAATTTCGGTAAACTTTGAAACAGACTAATTTCAACGAATATAACTGCAACGCCTAAACAGTTAATTTAGTTTCTCAAATTAATATACACCTAACCATTTTGTTTTTACTGCGTAAAAAGTGTTTCTATGTACTTACAGCATTATTGCTCAAAAACGGAATGTCTTGTGAAACGTGTAACACAAAGTTCAGTTTCTTCGCACGCAAGGTGAGAGCATGTACACATACTCTTACATTTGATATTCTGTATATATTATCATATTTCCTATATCTATTTTACGTCTCTTGCAGAAACAGTGTACCGAGTGTTTGAGGTATTTCTGTACCAAATGTGTGATCAAGCAATTAAACAAGATTCGCAGTTGTGATAGTTGCAGTATATTGTCATTAAGACCATTGGTACGAAGTCAAATTGTGCAAATGCGTTCCAAACACTTGCGTCATTACTTGTTGGCAAAGAAAGTATCCATCGAAGACTGTATTGGTAGGTGTATAGCAATGAACATGATTTATGTTGTACAAAAAATACCCTTGTTATTTTTTCCCCCAAAAAATTTCTAACAATTATATAATGAATATACTTTGTCTAATGCAAATTTCATTGTTTGAAGAGAAGGAAGATTTGATAGAACTATTGATGATATTCGCTAATGGTGCTAGCAAATATACAAGTAGAGAAACACCAGATAATGTAAAGATACATAGCACGTACGTAATATTTTATTTCATCTTTTATTTGGACTCTAATAAGTTTTAGATCCTAGGGAAGGTATGAGAGGTATATCTAATATCATAATCTTTGACTTAAATAAAAGTATTAATAATCAGACTCACATTGGTAATTGATACAGCATGATAGTACATATACTTATATCAAAAGTATCTATATATAATATATAAAAAATAACATCCAAACTAATTAATCTGTAACATTGTTTTGTTCTAATATCATTTCAGTAATAATCCTACTTCAAATCAATCGGCAGATTTAAAAAATGTAAATACCAGTGAATCTAATGTTCGAAAATGCGAAACAAGTAACACGAAAATCGATCATGATGAAATGACAAAAATTCCGAGTACATCATTTGATACAAGTAACAGACAGGTAACTGTGTTCTCACAGATCGAAATTTCAAAATCTTTTAATACTCTGCGTTGTGATGTTTTTACCATTCTTTTTCATTTCGCTAATTTGTTCATAGTATTTCATAATCAAATGCTGTGAATACAAGGATAATTGTAACTAGTGTTCTTTTCTTTCATACAGTGGTCTGATCAAATCAAACTATTCAATATAAATGCATTATCAGAATTGGAGTATTTGAGTGTGAAGCAATTAAAAAATTTGTTAAGTACAAATCGAGTAGATTACAAAGGCTGTACAGAGAAACGTGAACTATTGGATAGAGCCTCTAGATTGTGGCAGGAACACAGACAATCAAAAGCAAGTAGGTTGTTATTTTCTATGAAACACGTTTGTTGATTTTCCATTTGGTAAGAAAAGAAAAACATATAGAAGTATAATTTACACACTTTATTGGTAGATGCAGAAACATTGGATGAAAATCTTTGTAAGATCTGTTGCGATGGACCGATTGAATGCGTGTTCTTAGAATGCGGCCACATGACTTGTTGCATCAACTGTGGCAAACAAATGTCAGAGTGTCCTATATGTAAACAGTATGTGGTACGAGTTATACGGTTCTTCAAAGCTTAACAAAAAGGGGACAAATCCATAAATCTCTCTCTCTCTCTCTCTATACATATATATATATATATATGTGAATATTTCGAAATATTCAACGAACTCATGTGTTGTTACTACTTCTGTAAGTATATATGTTCATTGATGGAAACAACTTAGTCAGTTCAAATATTTTTTGTAAATAGGTACAAGAATCGTGTATCATAAACGGTAAATGTTAAATTGGTTATCAAGATGAAGAAGTAAGAGGTATAAGCAGGGGGAGTTTAATATCGTCTAAAACTCTCGTACAGTTTACCGAGTAAGTAGGTAAACTACCTTATAACGTACATCATGTATATACATATGCGTAAATAAACAATGTAACAGAAACGAAAGAACATATTGAATTCCTCAAAATATTCAACTGCTTCTGCATTTATATATAATAATTAAAAACTTTTAGTAAAACAGTTTCAGTTATTAATTTCTACTGATTATAGTGATATGTATAATCACTTAAACAGACTATGAATGCAGAAGTATCTATGTATATTTGAACCTTTAAACATATACTACTGAAAGCCGCATTGAGCTTAAGCATTTGCTTAAGTTCTTGTCAAAATAGATTACGAGTTACTGGATGACGAGGGAGGGGATATCAACGATATCAACCCAATAAGCTAAACGGCACAAGGGAAAGTGTGTGTCTACTCTGTTATCGCTCTATCTCACTCTATGTTACTTGCGAATTTGATTCGTCTATATTCCATATCGTCTGCTATTTACTATACTGTCTATTCTGTTCATTGATGAGAACAATTCGTTGTAAGAATTTATGAAAAGTTGAGAAATTAAGTATAATATAGATACTTGTATAAATAACAATTTATGCGACGAAAAGTAAATTGATGGAACAGTGGTATAAAGTACTATAAGACTCACAAAAAGTACCATCGGGAACCAAAATTGAAGAAAATGAATCAGGCAAATGTTGAGAAATTGGTTTCTAGGTTAAGATTCAACGTTAGAGGGAAGCCACGAAGGTTGAGCAATCCAGACGGTCCAGAAGGAAGATTACGGAGAATTCGGAAAACATTAACCGCTTTAGTGAAATACGAGAGAATTGAATTAAACTACGAGAGGGCAGATGAAACAAGAGGTTACGTCGAACGAGTACGTAAATAGTTTGTCTACCGGTCGTTTGATACTTTTTGTTAAATCGTAGTTTACAATACAATTGTTTACAGTTGATATCTGAAGCACTTCGCCATGGACCTGACAACAAAGAAACAATGGAACTTGCAAACTTCTGGTTAATAGAGAAACAATTGGTTCATAAACTTTTTAAAGTACTTGTACCAAGGTATCTGAATACTACAAGTTCCTATACAACATTGTATAGCGCTCCAGCTGATTTTTCTATATCTATTTACAAAAGAGCTGTACTGGAATTAAAAGGTACATTTTACAAGCAATCTGTATGCAAGTTCATAGAAGCACTAATGTAATTAACCATTTTCAGGAAACATTTATCCCAGCTTAAACCAGTATGATCCGCATCAGTCTATTTTACTTCAGAACATATTACTTGATGCAGCTAAAAAAGAATTTCGAATGAACAAGTACAAAGAAATTGCAGATAATATGAATTCATAGGTTTTATGTAAACATTTTATTACCCAATAATAGAAACAATACAAAATATTAATATGGAATGGTACATGTATTTGATTTGATCCTTATCATTGTACTATTTTGTTAGCACATTTTGGTCTGAGCTTATCACCTGTAACCCAATACCCCTCTTTGTGAGTGTGGGATGTAAGTCGAAAATCAATGATTGACGAAATAGAATTGTTATTGGTTATCGCTTATCGTAGCATACGAAGGTTTATCTAAGCAGGTAATATCTTTTCTCATCGAATCGCCTGTGACCCATGTGACCCCTGCACACATAGAATAATTCACACCTTACGGTTCCTGCTTTTGACGCAGATTGGCGTCATTGGGCGGGAACGTATTAAGTTGATTTGAAAGAATGTAATGGATAATGTTCATGAAACTCTGTAACATGATTCTCCATAGAATGTAACTGTCTCCTAAAAGTAAAGAAACGTGTTAGTAACATATAAATCTTTTCAGACTCTTTGTAATATACCATAACTCAACAGTGCAAATATTACTTTCAATGAAGCTAAGAGCGGTACCTAATATGTTTTGGCATTGTACGATACACATCCGTGAATAATTCCTTCCAACACGGTTTTAGTTCTTTTTCAGCATCTTTGAACGCGCGTAGAACAGATTCTTTTATGGATTCATTTGATTGTTGTTCTTGTTGTTTGCACCAAAGATTAATCGATTCTAAATAGTTGCGAAATCTAATTATCGGTGAATTATGATTCCAGTGAGATATTTCATTCACCGATCGGTATGCGCTACTATCGTCAGAAGTACTATGGTGGCCTATGCTAAAGTACATGGAGTAGGATACATCAGTTGAATTAAAAGTCATTACATACAAAAAAAAAACATAGTTACATAGTTACGTACCGATAAGTCATAGCTTCAATTAGAACAGGTTTTCCTGTTTCAATGCAGAATTCACGAGCAGCTTTTGTTGCATTGTACACAGCAAGAACGTCATTACCATCTACACGAATTGTACGTATTCCGTAAGCTGGACCTCTTGCAGCAATTCCATCTCCTTTAAACTGTTCCAGAGAAGATGTTGAAATGGCATAACCATTATTTCGGCTTGAAATATTAAAAGGACATTATACGATTGTGTCGTTATCGTTACATATTTGTTGTCGCATCCACGCGCATGAAATATACCACACAAAAAGAATTGGACATTCCAAAGTTGCTGCAAAATTAAAAGCTGCATGAGCATCCCCTTCACTGGCTGCTCCTTCCCCAAAATAACAAACTACACAGGCTTTCTTTTTGGATTGTTTGAGCGCATATGCTGTACCTACAGCTGGAAATAAGCGCACACCAAATGTCTATTATAAACATTTCCATTAAAAAAAAACCAGCTAACTTTTTTACCTTGAGGTAATTGCGTCGTTAAGGGAGAAGAAATGGTGACAAAATTAAGTTTTCTTGACCCATAATGAACAGGCATCTGTCTCCCCTTTGAAGTATCTTTGTAATTACCATAACACTGATTCATAAAATCTGTAATGGAGTAACCTCGCCACAATAAAACACCTATAACATTGGTAAAGAACAAATAAGATTTCCAAAAAAATATTACACAGAAGAAAACCTTGTGTTATTGATTTCAAAAAAATTCTTACCAGCTTCACGATACTGTGCATATATAACATCATTTAAAGTAAGAGCTGCAGCAGAACCAATTTGAAGACCTTCTTCACCAGTATTGGTCATATAAAATGATATGCGTCCTTGCCTTTGAGATTCGTAAAGAACTTTATCCATTATATTCAAAGTAAGCATTTTATAATACATTCTTGTCATTGTTTGTTCATTTATCTTATATGACACAAAAACATATTATTAATATGGGAAAGAAATATTGTGAAGATTATTTTGTATATATTGTGGTAATTAAATGGTATACTTTATATTCCTTAGGGAACTCTGTCTGTTCAGGTGAATGTAAAATTCTAAATATGGGTAAGGCATCGTAACTTTCTTTATTGAAAAAGAGGAGTTTGTCCGTAAAACTGACTTGTATTCCTAAATAGCCACTTTCTTTTACATTGGTCACAGTATCAATTCCAATTTCGGTGTTTGTATTATTGCATTGTCGTTTTGTCTAAATTTAGGGAAACAAAATCATGAAACTTGTTTCGATAGTTATAAACCTATCCATTTTATACTTCATGCGTTTACCTGCTGCAATATGTTTTTAAAATTGATGTGTTTTACGACTCCTCCAAATAGAGCTTTATTAATCATCATGTTATTAAAATATATATATTTTTCTTAATATTAATTGCTAGAATAATTCTTTTTATTAAGAGTTTCTTTGCAATGGCAATATTGTTGGTAATTTTTCTTTCGATTTTCACTTTAGAACTTTTACGTAACAATTTCTTCTGCACGTATAATGTACATATATATGTGCATTATTCATGAAATTTACATTCAATAGCATGTTTACGATTTAGATACATATGTATGTACATATGAATGTGTCAGAGAACTTTCATCTTAAGTGTGTAACATGTAAGATGTTGTTTCGCGTCGGTCTGGTTGGTCTGCTTCTTCCTGTTGACAAGTTTAATGATTGAATTTCTTATTATACCGTTTTTTTTTATTATAAATGTATAATTCAAATGAACATGAATGTCGTAGTTTCTCCTTTATCTAAATTTATTTAAAATAAAATATAAAATTGTAGACAAATGAAACGTAACTAAACGATATAAATCGCATAGAAGAATCTAACCTTTCGCGACATTATATATTCAAATACATATGTTGATTGTTCGAAATATTTAGAATATTTGTGATAGAAGCAAAGAAAACATGGATTCTTGGATAGATCAAGATCTGTATGAATTAATTGGCGTAACAAATACAGCGACGATCCAGGAGGTATGAAAATTTTGAAATGTACAAGTTAAGTATGAATATATTTTGTATTGTACTATTGATTTTTACATCATTTCAGATCAAAAGAGGGTACCGCAAGAAAGCTTTGTCTTGCCATCCTGACAAAAATCCAGACAATCCGAAAGCAACAGAGTTATTTCATGATTTATCACGAGCATTAGAGATCCTTACAGATGTATCTGCTCGGGTAAATATGTATAGGAATGTTGTTATTTCAATTGTTACTTATATTTTATTCTTTTTTTTTAATTAACGGTTCATTTTTTTATATAAGGCAGCTTATGACAAAGTTATTAATGCCAAGTCTCAAGCAAAGATAAGAGCTAAAGAGTTTGATGCAAAACGTAGAAAATTGAAGGAAGATTTAGAAGCACGAGAAGATGCTTATCAACGATCTTTAAACAAAAAAAGTTCCACAAACAGTGATAAAGATAAATTACAAGTATTCATTCCTTTTTGTAATAATTTTTCTTTCCCAGCTCCTTGTCACTTTTAATGGAATTCTATGTTTCAGGCTGAAATAGAACGTTTACAAAAAGAAGGGTCTAAGCAGGTAGAAGAAGAAATAGCACGTATGAAAAGAAAAATTAAACAAGAATCAAAGGGATCGTGCAAAGCAACTGACACTGACAGTAGTTCTTACAAAATTAAAATAAAATGGAAGTCTAATAAAAATGATATAGGTGACAATGTATATGACTATGATACATTACATAGAATTTTTTCAAAGGTATGAGATTGTGGAATTGTATTTTAAATTTCTGAATCCTTTTGCAAGATTCCATATTAACATACTTTTCACAAGTAATTTCAGTCGACCGTCTGATAAAATGTTAATAGGTTTACAACGTACTTTTGTTTATGTCACTTTGTTTTTAGTATGGCGACATAGTAACCCTGATCTATTCATCTACAAGAAAAGGCAGGGCATTAGTGGAATATCAAGACAGAGACGATGCGGTAAATTTGTGAATTATATTAAAAGTAAAGAAACATTTATTTAGAAGAAACAAATAAACGACGAAATCAATTCATTTATCAGGAAATGGCCTTAAATTTAGAAGTTGGTTTTACACAAAATCCATTGAAACTTCAAAAGTTGTGGAACACAATGAAACAATCGAATTTCAGCGAGGATGAATCGGCTCACGGTACGAATTGTCATGAGCGCACATCGTGTACAATCAATAATGTGACAGAGAACAAGGTCGGTTTAACGTAATATCATTTTTTTTCCTTTAGTTTTTATAGTATTAACATTGAGTATAAACATTACATTTCAGATAAATCAAAGCGAATTGTCCGATGCAGAATTCGAGCGTATCGTTTTGAGTAATTTAAGAAAAGCCCAAGAAGAAAAGAGGCATTCGGAAATGTTGAATTCAAAGGAAGGAACTTGATCAATAATGTGCACACATTATACCGTTCTTTCTGCTTCATTTATTATATGATTACAAGTGTGTACCTGAGTACCAAAATTACGTCGGTTTTATAAATACAAATGGACAGTTACTGGAGTCTGCTGCTGTTGCATATGCATAATTTAAAAGAAAACGAATATTAAGAGAAAAGCGTTATTCGATTTTAAATAGAAATTGAATGATTATTATCGATTAATCGCAGCTGATTTCATCAAGATTGTACATATTATGTTGTTCCAAACTGACGGATAAAACAATTTAATTAAGCTAAAATGATATCCTTTTGATCCTTTGTCTTTTTTGTTTTTTTAATTTCTGCTTCGTCGATAGGGGCTGACTTAACGAACGGAATTTCATCTTCGTATTCGGGTGGCATAAATTGTGCGAGAACTTTCGGAATTTTAATGCTCGAATCGGTTTGATGCACTTCTAAGATGGCGCATATAACACGTGTGACTGCGCACATTGTTGCATTCAGCATGTGTACATAATCTGTACTGGCGTTCATTTTCTTAGTTTGACCATACCTGAAACGTATTATAACATCGACATTGTTTATATGGAATTCATAATTATATAATTACAATAAAATAAAAAATTATAAATTTTTTACCTGACTAGTAAACGTCTTGCTTGATAGTCTAAACAGTTGCTACACGATACAAGCTCGCGAAAGGCACCGGATCCTGGAAACCATGCTTCCAGGTCCAACTTTTTGGAAGCAGCGTTATTCAGTGCACCCGATACTATATTTACTATACGATAAGGAATTTCCAAAGCTTGGTAAAATTGTTCTGCGTTCGAGATCATTTCTTCCATCATTTGCCAAGATTTATTTTCATAGGGAGATGTCAGACAGAATTGTTCCACCTGTTACGCATACATGAGCGAATGTAAATTTGCAAGCGAATCCTCTTAAACTTGTTAGAATCGGAGTAGTAGTTACTTTCTCGAATTGATGGACTCTAAAAATGCCTCTTGTGTCACGTCCATGGGAACCAACTTCTTGTCTAAAACATGTCGACAATCCGGCATACTTAATTGGCAAGGCACTTTCAGGAATCCACTCGTTTCGATGAAACGCAGCTATTGGTTGTTCAGATGTAGCAATTAAATATTTTTCTTCTACTTCTTTATCGTCGCTCCGTTCACTGCCTTTGCCAATCACCTAATCGAATCGATAAGCAATTAAAATATTCTAGTGACAATATGTACAGGTGTCTCATTTTAATCTTTATACGCGATTACCTCCGAACGTGTTTATTTATTTATTTATTTACGGATTACTTCCCATTAGAATAAAAGAGTAAAATATGTAAACATGTTTATATGAAATATAAATCGGACGACTATTAAAACTAAATGAAACATATAACTGGAAAATACAAAAGAGAAAAACAAAATGGTAATTACAAAGAGAAAAGCAAAAAGTGTTCATTGTTGAATGAAATGTTTTCTAATAGAACTTACTCTGTTCCAAGGGGGGAATCTTATGATGGACACAAATTTTGTCTAAGTGGAGGTGCCTCTGATGTTTCAAGATAATCTTTCCCACTTTTTAAATGTAACTATGTATCTCTTTTTTAGCTAGATGTTCAACCCACTCCGAGACGAATTCATAGTTCTAGTATATCTGCTTCGTTAAAGGATCTAGCTTCATTAAACGATTAGAAAATGTTTCTTATCTTTTGTATTCGAAAGGACGACCTTAAGCACCAATACATTAGTTTATTCTGGCAGACTATTGGCAGATAGTCCATATCTGTAAACATGAGTACTGATAAATGGCATAATTTTGTCTGAGATTGCGTCACGTTTATGACTGCGCCGATAAATTTCTACAGTGACGAAAATCTTATAGCCATTCAGCGAAGCTAGGCATCAAACTATCGTAAATGACTTAGAACGACCTTGGAAGATCCTGATGCCCTAGGTCAATGAATTCGTTTTGGAATGGGCTGAGCGCCTAGCTAAAAAAGGGATACATAGTTCCTTTTAAAAATAACAAAAATTACCTTGAAAGATCAGAGGCATCTCCACCTAAACCAAATTTATGTCCATCATAGGATGCCTCCTTGGAAACAGAATAAGTTCTATGTCATGCATTTTTTAATGAATTACTATGTTTTTCATACCTTGTACAATTCTTCATCAAACTGAGACAACTGAGCTACTTCTTGCATAACATCTTTGCGCATGAAAAAAGGTGTATAAAGTGGCTTATATCCTTTCGTATGCAATTGTCTAAGAGCAAACTGTATTAATGCATGTTGCAAGAACACTGCAGGCCCAGTTAAAAAGTAACCACGTCCGCCAGATACATTAGTGCCACGTTCGCCATCTATTCCATCAATCATGTGGATTAAATCAACATGCGAGTACCTCTTGCTCTGCGTACAATCTCCATAAGTCTTCTCAATCTATGAATGATGATAACATAGGGTAAGAAAAATTTGACAGTATAGAAATATGCATAGAAAGTGTCCCATGTAATCGATTATGTACCTTGTTTTCGTCTTCATCATTACTGATCGGTACAGACTGATGTAAAAAATTTCCTATTTCTTTGAGAGCATGGTTCCTTTCCAATCCTGTCAAAATCAAATCTTTGTCGTTCTTCGTAATGGCGTCATCGATACAACTACGGATACTCTTAATCTGTGCAACCGTTAATGATTTCAGGTTATCGGACGTTAAATTGTCCAGATTTCTAAGAATATCGTCTGGAACAGTACTATCGCAGCCAGTTGCTTCTTTTTTTTTCATTCTTTCTCCAATTTCCTTACTACACACATTTTTCAATTTGTTGAAATTGTCAGCTTTATGTCGCAACTGACGCCAAACTTTATCCTTTTCAACTACCGTGTCCACTAAATTTACATCTTTGAAACGATTCTTTTGATTTTCACGTATTTTTTCTGGATCGAAACCTTTATCTTTTCGAAACAGATCTAAATCCAGTACCATTATTAAATATTAGAAATCGTTTTCCTTACTCTATACTAATGTACACGTGGACGTGGATTATACAGCCGATACAGCATTCAAACTACTTCAAACAGCGATCTGCCAGATCTGCCAGTGATCCAGTGATCTGCAGTCATCGAAAGCATCGAGAGGCCAACGGCACAGGATAAGTATTGATAAATATAACCAGTATGGTCACTGTGTGTCGGCTCCTTTGATGTAGTGTCGAACAGTCGCCATGTGTGGGTTGTATAACGCGCTATTATTTAAATTGTGAAAAAGCAGACAAGTATGAATCAATACTTCCATGTTATTTTATAATTAAGTAACCGCAACTCATATTTTCGTAATAAAATATTAGAAAATTGCAAACATGGATGTCAAATTATGGAATTAAATGACACTTCATCGTTTCTTTCCATTAGTTTCGGCATCTGCATTCAATTTCATGATTTTTTACCAAGAGAAACTCAAATATTAGAAAAAAAAAATTAAAAGCGCTATGTTTGTAGTTGATTAGTAATTTGGACATTTTGCAGTATATGGCGCAAAAATACCTTTTCATTTAATTTACCATATGAAGTAAAAATTAAATAACTCATCTATACATTGTATATATATGTAAGTATATACATATTGTATGTATACATATATTATATTCTATATGCTCATAGTCAGTGATATCAATTAAAAACGCCAAAACTCATGGTTTTTGATACGTACAGTCGACTCAGAAAAATTTACGAAATAATCTGAGACGACAAGATAAATATTTAATTATAATTTGCATGTTTTCTTCATTTCGTTATACGTCATAGAATATCACATCATAAGAGAGGACTGTTATTTACGCTGGTAACTTCCGTCGAGTATTTCCAGTATTTCCTGAATTATCGGAGTGGGGTACTCAGAAATTATTTTGTGTTTTATCGTTTCTTCTTAAAAGTTCACAAAAATGTCGAAGGCAGTTGGGAAGGGTAGGTCGATGAAGAAAGTATTACAGAAAATAGATCATAGTTCAAGATTACGGGTAAACATTCCTGCGAGAATGGCAAACGCCAAACCACCTCTAGGATCACAACTCGGACAGGTTAATTTTTCTTTCAAGCAAAATATACGTTTGTAGAAATTTATTTATATACTAATATCTTCAACTTCAGAGAAACATAAACGTAGTAAACTTTTGCAAGGAATTCAATACAAGAACAGAAAACATTAAGCAAGGCATACCTTTACCGTGTCGAGTTAAAGTGAAACCAGACCGCTCCTTTGAGTTAGTTATTCATAACCCACCAGCTACGTTTTTCTTGAAACAGGCTGCTGGAATAGAAAGAGGAAAAATGTGCAAAGGTAATAACAAAGATATGCGATCATTAAACAGCTAATATGATTATCAATGTATTTCAGGTGAAATAGCAGGTAAAATAACATTCAAACATTTATATGAGATTGCATGTATCAAGGCACAGGATCCACCTTTAGCATTACTAAGTTTACCACACATTTGCCAAATGATGGTAATGATTGCACGCAGTTGTGGTATCCAAGTTGTACGCGAATTAGATCCTGTAGAATATGAACAATTTATGAAGGAACGGGAAGAAAATGTTCAGGCTCGACTTGAAGAAATGCGATTATCTAGAGAAGCTAAATTGCTAAGAACAGTTTAGATTGATATATTAAATTAATTAAAATATATGTACTGAAGGAATGTAAATATAGATGAATTGCAGTTGTATATGTCATTAAAGCATATTATAAGAATTATTAATAAGGCTTTTCAAACAAGCAGGATTTCCAAAGAGAACATAAGATCCCAGGAAAATTCCCTAGGTTCACTAACAACTTGGCAATATCTGTTAACATCCCGTAAGGGATTCCTTTGGAGGCCTTACTCAAAGGACTCGGAAGGATCTGCAAGGTTAATGCCAATGTGTAATATATACTCGTGTCATTAGAGACGGCGTGAACTGCTACTTGTGAATCACTCGTGATTCGATCACGTTCGTTCTTAATCACGATGATTTTTCACAGTAATTCAAGATTTCTCTAATCGTTTCTGATTGGTGGAGAAATCTAACAGTTCTTTACACGTGACAGAGAACCCCCGGTGGAAGCGCCAGAGACCCCGTGGGTGAGACGTGGGGTCATGGAACCCCCAGAGGGGGACCAGGGACACCGTGGTGAGAACGTGGGGTCATGGAACCCCCACAGGGGGCGCCAGAGATCCTGTGTGGTGAGAACGTGAGGTCATAGAACCTCCGGTGGAGGCGCAAGAGTTTTGAAATGTGATCCTTTATCGTTCTTGCTCGTACAACATTTATACAGAATTGGGACTGACGCTTGTCCGTGTTCCCGTGGACAAATTAGATAATAACCCCAGCGACCATGGCAGTTTCTGCAGATACTACTACAGTCCAAGTTTAAAAGACGTAGGCAGTAGTTAGTTTCTGTAGTAACCTGTTGAACCAAACAACTATAATTAGTATAGGATTGTACAATATTTATGCAGTTATATTTAAGACAATTCGATGAAATGAAGCTTATATTACCTGACGTATGTTTATTGGAATATACATACAAATTATAATGATTCCGGCCAACTATTTTCTGGTGTAATTAAGCGCCCAAAATGATCGTCGTCGGTCTCAAATTATTCCTGACGATTTAATGCGTAAACCCAATACTGCAGAACACCAGAATTAGTACAATTATTTATGCTACTATTATAACGTTGACCCCTGATGGAGTGGCAACTCTAACAACAACAGGTTTGGATTGACAGTGTATTCCATCATGCATACCCCGTTTAGTTCACTTTAAACAACTGTTACACCGTTATACGGATAGCTTTCGTTTAGATACAGCACTCGATTTGTAGCTGAAAGAACGTAGATTAATCTGCTGCCATTGAAAATAATAATAAACGACCAGAACATTGTCAAAATCGCATTTAATTGCGGAATACCACTATTTTTTCAACCGGAGGCGCCACCCGTGGCACTTCGCTCAAACTGCTAGCCAAATTATATCGACAGGTGAGTGAAAATTTTCGAGTGATGGAAAAATGCAAATATCTCAGTAATTAAGCACTTCAAATGAACGTCCTTAGTCTCAAATTGTCCCTCAGGACTTAATGCATGGACCTAATAGTGCAGAACCCCTGAATTAGTAAAATTAGTTATGCCTGATTACCGTAGCCCCTTACGGGGCGGCAACCCTACTTGCAACACATTTCGATTGCATTTACACCGCTAAACGGGCATGATACTTCTTCGTTTTGCATTCAATACAACGTTTAAAGAACGTAGATTACTATTCTCTAACGGCTGGAAACCAGTAATCAAAAGATTACTGGTTTCCAGATTAAGTCTTGAGGGACAATTTGAGACTAATGACGTTCATTTTAAATGCTTAATTACTGAGATATTTGTATTTTTCCATCACTAGAAAATTTTCACTCACCTGTCGATATAATTTGGCTAGCAGTTTGAGCGAATTGCCACGGGTGGCGCCATCGGTAGAAAAAATAGTGGTATTCCGCAATTAAATGCGATTTTGACAATGTTCTGGTCGTTTATTATTATTTTCAATGGCGGCAGATTAATCTACGTTCTTTCAGCTACAAATCGAGTGCTGTATCTAAACGAAAACTATCCGTATAACGGTGTAACAGCTGTTTAAAGTGAACTAAACGGGGTACGCATGACGAGATACAGTGTCAACCATTGCAAATAAATTGTGATTTTAACAATATTCTTGTAATTACTGGTTCCCAGTCGTTAGAGAGTATTATTCTACGTTCTTTAAACTTCGAATTTAATGCGTGACGAAGAAAAATGATGCCCGTTCTCACAAGTACTAGCTTCTAACTTCGTTTATGAAAATACAAATTCCAAAATATTCTCGCGCCACCAAGGACTTACGATCGCAGTGACCAAATTTACTCAAGATAAAAAAATTGCAATCACGGTCGTGAGTGAAGTTAAATCACGACCGTGATCGTGATTCGGCGATCACTGTGATAAATCACCGTTAGTGATTTTGCACGCCATCTCTACGTGTTATAGAGGCTCTGTCAATCATGCAAAACGTTTAAATATAAAATCATGTGCCTAAACTTTCACATTTTTCTACCTTTTAATAATCGTTCATACGTCAGTGACTGTTAAGAAATCATTAAATTAGCGAAATATTGACAATTTTCCGCCATTAGTTCCCGCGTTTATTTATAACGCGTCTGATCCATTTGATCGGATAATTAATTTCTTCTCATTGATAATGATCAAAATCGACCAATCTGTGGTAGTGTCGTCACTAATTTGTTCAAAGGACCTCTCATCTATTTTTTTAAAGTTTGTGTCCTGCACTATATGTTTTTGAGGGAGACATTGTTTTGTATATAGTATTCGCAAAAATCTTACGTTGTCTTACGTTGTAAATTCGGAAAATGTTGTCTCGATAGGTCGACATCGTCGATATCGAACTAATCGTTTGACAGTTATTAACCACCTTCACTACGATTTGCTGACGTTCTACTCAAAGATGGCGGTGATGAGTACGCCATGTTTTTTTGTGATGTTCGTGCATTAGACAAATTTTTTGAGAATTGTAATCCGTATGAGCAAAATGGCTGATGATGACCCGTGGTTATTGAAGGAAGACGGTTATTTAAACGTGGACACCGAATGCAAAAGTATAATCTATCATGCTAATCTAAATGTGTTACTAATCACCACTGGCAGTGCGCAAGTATACGTAGTTGATGTCAACTCAGGAGTAATATTGCAAAAAAGTTCATTGTCGGGTAAGCATTTCGATGTGTCTTCGTTTCAGAGATATCCGTTTGTTTGCTGATAACGAATTGTCTCGCCATCAAGTTTATTGATAATTTCTTTGCATCAGATTCAATTACGCCTCATGGTCAAGGTCGTATACGTGTATAAAACGTCAGGCATGACTAAAGTTTTTTTCATTTAAGTGTTTTCATAATAAAACAATCGCTAATTTTTCTCATAAACGACCACGTACGACTTTTATCTGTGTTTCCAAAAGTTTACTAGTCTTCCACCACTGCTTCAGTGTTTGTCTGAAATAGCATCCATTGTTGTTTCAGAATTATGTATTGACACGTTGCTTCAAAAATGTTAATGTTTTAGGTTTCTGTTTCTGTTGACAGTTTCAAAATATATGCGTCTTAAATATATAAGTTTCATTTATTTAAATAAGAAAAAGAAACTTATAGCCTATTACTGCAGTAATGATATTTATTTTTATAGGCAAATTGCATGGAAAACTTCAAGGCACGTATTTGTCAAATGGTGTAGATAAGGTATTATATACAGATGGAAGAGGACTTGGAGTACGTAGTGATTACAATGGTGTACTCCTTTTGGATACTCTTTTACAAACAACTGTATCACGAAGTGAAGATGTTGTAAAGCTAGAGTTATTGTTTTCTGAAGCTACTTTGTTATATCAGTGTCTACGTTGTGTAGAGCTACCAGGTATAGATCATGTGCAAGAAGTAATTCAAGAATTAGCAAGTAAAACTTTTACAGTGGAGGCAAGCCAGAGGAAGGGAATCAAGGCTCAAAAAGTAAGTGAGAAAAATGTAGTATATATTATGAACTTTTAATTTCATGAATTGATTGAATCAATGACTTTTTGATTTGACTCGGTTTACTTAAAAAAACAGTGGAATACAGTATGCCTGGAACTACCGCATGGTTCCTTGAAGCTTGTGTGTTCAGGATTAGTAACGGAATTGAAAAGATTAAACAGACATATTCCAGCATTGTCAATTGCTTCTGCTATTAATGAACGACTAAATGGCCTACTACCAGGCCTGGCATTAGAAGGAAGTCCTGTTGATAGAGCATTAATGTTTAGTGAAGCAGTTCGCAGAGAAACTTTTTCAAAATGGCCACATATAAATGACAAGTATGATGTTCTAATGACCATTATTATTATTATTTTGTTGAATATGAAGTTAATACGGGCACTAAATGTTTGTTCTTTTTAGATGGGCTTTACCTGACCAGATGGCTCAGGTTGGTCTATACCATCACCCAAATGCAACAGGCGACGATAGGGTGATGTGCTTTACGTGCAATATTTGTTTAGTTTGTTGGGAACCAAAAGATGAACCTTGGTCAGAGCACGAACGGCATTCTCCTGCATGTCCTTTTGTTAAAGGAGAGTATACGCAAAACGTTCCTCTATCTGTTACCCTTGCCACTGCTCCTGCACGAGAAACCTGCGATATTGTAGATGTGCTCAGCACTACAAATGCCAGTGGTCTTGTAGCTACAGCTTCCAGTAGTGGTTTTATAAGCATATGGAATGTAACAAATCAATTAAAGGTGAGTAAGGTGCATTAATGTTAAGCATTAATTGTATATTTTAAAGATCGGTCATAAATCGTGTTGTTATTGCAGAAGGAAGTGTCGTTTTATGTAGCTCCTGTCGAGCAAGAAATAAATAACAAAGAATCCATACAGTTTGGTTCTACCAGAAATTTCACTTCGTATTTAAAGACGCTCAATACGGAAACAGATCCTCTTTCCGAGTACAAGCATCCAGCTTCTCATAAAGTGCAAATTACAGCACTGTCACTGATAGGATCTCCAAAAATTCAAAACAAGGATGCAAACACTTCTGTTTCTGGGCTTTTACCTGTAGAAACATCAGACTCTAAAATTAGACCATGTGTAATGTGTGCTGTTACAGTGACGGTTAGTAACCCGTCACAGTTAAGGACTTTAGAAAATGTGTGGGCCACATCGACAGATTTAACTCCTTCGTCGTCTCTTGTTCGTGCAATGAACAGTGTAAATAGTGCTGCCAGTGATACTTTAGACATAATGAAGGTGGCAGGTGATAGGTATACACCATCAAAATTGCACTATTTAGTACTTTATGATTTTCACCATAAAACTACAACAACGCAACCGATTAAAGAAGATAATACTAAGGATTCTAAAGCAAAGAAGACGTTATCCGGAACCGGAACTAGTGCAAGTTCAAACGGGGAGCGGCAAGAAACTCTGTATCAAGATTTCTTGCTTGGCAAATTTTTGTATGAAGTTCCAGTGATAGAGGATGTTGATTCGGATTTGGTAGTCGGTTCACATTTCGATGGTATCTTCCCAACAACAGCTTTGACCGCATCGTCTTCCAATGGAATCTATTCAAATCCCATTGGAATTACAGTACCTCCAACATCAAGCTCGTTCGATGCCAATTTTAATCCTATCAGTGGCCCAGAACACTTCGCTTCAACATCCGATTTAACAACAGCGAATAAAAAGAGTTTGGATATCATGAAAATAACAAAGACTGAACCAGTTGTTATAAAAACTTTACCTATCGAAGCTCCTGATAATGTTAAAATTACGTATGTTGGGCCATCTGTAGATGGGAGGTATTTGTATATTGCTATGTGTCCTACAATAGAAAGCACAGATTCATTGGGTTCAAGTAATAATCAAATGGACATTGATGAAGACAACGAGTTCTTTCCCCAGAAAGGTTACATGTATTGGGACCATGATACACAGTCCGGTAGATTAATAAACGGCGAAATACACGACGACGCCAGTAATGCGAATGCCATATTGCTTGTGTACGCCTTGGATTTTTCCGGGCAGGTCGTAAAGATCTGCTCCGAGCCAATAGCAAGGCGAGAGTTGCCTGCAGATCAAGCACCCATCGAACATGTGTTTTTACCTTATCAAAGAAAGAATAAATGTTCATTGCCTGCCGATATTACAATGAAGGGTCCTAATACTGATTCAAGTGTTCTAGAATCTGCTGGACAGGTAGCTCTAGTATGCAAGGATGGTATAATCAGAGTATTAAACTTGGTATCATTAGAGACTGTTACAGAAGCAAGCGTAGAAGGGAAAAAGTTTGTTTCCGCAGCTTACTGCAACAGTAAGTTTGTATTACCAGTATCTACTTTTGTGTTAACAAACATTGTTCACAGGATCATATTTTTTTGTAGGTTTAGAGAGATTGTGTGCGTGCACAAGTGATGGTGCGCTTCAATTTTTTATTACAAGTGACGAAGAAGATTCTGCGGAGGAACAGGAAGACACTGAAGACGTTATTATGATGACAACAAAAGAGACCGGCAGTAAAAATACAACTCCTAGTACATCCACGTCATCCGGCTATCAGTAAGAATAGATTCAGTACCCCCTAAATATAATGCCGATAGAGTGTGTACTTTCAGTGGTAATGCACTCTATCTTTCCAGGGATCAGTTGATTGCGCACAAACCAAGCTTATCTCATTCGGACTTACGCACTCTATATGAATTAACAAGATTTAACCCACAATCCCCCGCATATGGTGCTACTGTTCCGCCGTGTTGGAACGAAATGATGCAGGGTCAAAAGCAACGTCGTCACCCACAACAACACCACACACGAATATGGCGTTTGCATAATGAATGGTACGCATATATGCTTTGAAAGTATTCATGTATAATTTTACCTCGTATACGTGTTTCTTTTGACGGTATCAACTTTAAAACGTAGGACCACATGGGACGAACATGTGTTCGAGTTAACTCTTCCCCGAAGCGCATCAGGGAATATCGGTCACGTCGATGTGAGGTTTAGTTTACATTCTGTCTGTCAGGAATTGCCAATAATTCAAATTACTCTACTAAAGCAAAACGTGAGAAGAATCGGTCATCATAAGTCTCCATTGACACCGGTGGACGAAAGAATAGACTTTAACTTAGGCAACGAGCAGAAAGGGGAAAATCCTGTGGTGACGGAAGAGTATCAGAGACAGCACAACACAGAAATTTTATGTGGTCCAATCGAATTACATCGTTACATGGATCTATCGTGTCGGTCTGGCTGTGTTACACTGACCAGTCCGAAGCTGTTTCGATCAAAAGCTAGAACGCTTCTTGTTCATATTAAGGCTTTGATTGATCCAACGAAGGATGGCGTAAGGACAAGAATTAAAACAATTACACAAGTAATGAACTGCGATATACCGAATGAAAAATATGCGTTGGTTCTAGGTAACAACAAAATCGAAAACCAGTACGTCGGCGAGTAAACCCCCTACTTCGAAAAAGTTGAGGATAGTTGAAGCAGTACGACCGCATGTTCCTGGAAGTACTACCGAGCGGTTCGTTGAGGGTTCAAACAGTAAAAAATTAGATTGTTACATTGGTACATATATGTGGATATATATAATATAGAATATACATTATATTTATGAATGGTCTGCTGTATATAATTCGTGATTTATGTAATTAATTTTCTGTAATGCTGTTTTAGGATGCAATTGGATTCATGAAATATCAATTACTGTCAGAACAGTGTATCCTACTAATATACCAAACGAAAGAGCTCAGCGTTGCGCTATGCTAGAATCTAAAACTTGCTTTGAAAATTTACTGAATGTAGCCTGTTTGGAGACACCTGACAAGTACGAACTATTACTGTTAATGATTGGAATTACATATTCAGTATAAGGAAATATGTTAAAGAATTTATCTATAATTGGCTGTGTTACAGGTCTCCCATTACACAGTCCCTTGCGCTAGATATTCTTATATGGATAACCACCATTAGATTAACGAGGCTACGCAGCAACCAAAATAACACCAAAATAATATCATTTCAAATAAAAACAATTCGTTCGGTCCAAGCATGGTTACCTAGTTTGTTAAAACATTGTCTTTTGCATGCTGGTCGAAGTGTAGCGCACAAATGTATAAAATTAGTTATGCTTTGCAGCAGGTACGTTAACGACACAGTATTAGCTGGGTAAGTGGAATGAATATTTCCGAGAAATCGACTTGTTATTAACGTTATAACATTGCTTTCAGGGAATTTGATAATTCAGACCATCCCCCGTTCAATTTTTTCAACGAAACTTTGGTTTCTGTGTTGGTGAAACTGTTACCGTCGATCGTAGAGGTTCAATGGGCTGGCTCATTGCGATGGTTACAACTATTAATTACTAAAATCTTACCGTTAGATCGAGATCACAGTATTGCTCAACAGTGTGTTAATTTAACACAACAAATAGCCGCTGAAATATCAAATCGAGTAAATCCTTATCATTTATTACTCGCAACGAGGTATAATAATTGAGCCGTTTTAACATATTATTTTGTATTCGTATAAACTCCTTGTATAATGTCAACGAATTAAATAATATTGTCTCGCAGGTTCGGTTTGTATAATACACCGTTTGAAACAGAACTTTTCGATTTGGATCCGCCGATGCCACCAAAGTATAGTCCAATACCTTCCACTTTCGGAGCAGCTGTGTCCAACGAACAGGCTGTGCCACCAACTACTTCGTCTAGTTTCGTATTTTCTCAGGATGCTATTGATTTGAGGGACCTACTTACATTGCCTACACATCCAGCTAGCGAACTGGTGGTGCCTAGCAAATTAAACGCTTTATTTGCTAATCATAATATGAAGGGACTCTTGGAGGTAATGCATTGTTACTTTAAGAAATTAGAATGCGTGAGTGATGTTTCACGAGAAACATTTTTGGCACAGGTTGAGCCGCTTCACTTTTCTTGTCATGCTGTCTCTAATGGTACCAAAATGGAAAAGATTGAACCGTGCATGAGTACCAATAATGTCGGAGCTCCGCATTATGATAGCACAGTTACGAACAACAATGGCGTACCTGACATCAAAACCATTCATCATACTTACGTAAGTTTTCCAATCACACTACCCGGTAGTTTTTTCTTTTCTTTCGTATGATTAGTGCATCGAACGTTCTTCTATTTCTTCTGTTTCTCCTTTGTTCTTTTTTCGTTAGACTCTTAATCGAAACGATTTCACGGAGCATGATCAGTCTGTGTGAGGACAAAATAAGATTGTTACTTATCTGAAAAAAAAATCCTGACTCATAGTAAAATAGAACAGGCAGTTTGTATGGTTTCTGTTTTATAATTCAAAATGGCAAAAGCTGTTTCGTGGTCATTTATTGTTGTACGGTAGAACACACATATACATATATATATATATATGGTATAGATGTTTTTTCTGATAGAAGAAACATAATCCAGATAGAAATCATTGTACATTGTAGAATTTGGATGCTGGATCACTAGGACCAGATGTTCAGGCTAAGTCAACACCTATATTAAGCGATCTGCTTAGTCTCTGTACAGGAAGAGCGATAAAGAAGCCAGCTCCACAATTGATATTCACACCTGATAATCAATCAGATTGTGACGAAGCTAACGATATGTCTGTGAACAATCAGGCATGGCATGATACACAAAGTGATATGCCTAATTCACATATATTAAGTTCTACTTTAACGAAAGACAAGTCGTCTGCACAAAATCTCGGTACTACCGTAAACAAAGTCGAAGACAGCAATCCTAAAAAGGTAGACTACACAGATGAGAGTTGCACCTTCTTTTTCTTCTTTCTGTTCCTCGGTTCTCAGTATATAAAAATTTGATGTTTTTATGGCTTTATTAATACGCTGTTTACAACTGAGTTCTTACACGATTTTTTTTATTGATGTTTGGCTACACAGAGTTAGACGCACAAAATGCAAGTTGCATGACGGACTTTGGAACTGTCTCATATCGTGTATTTCAATCTCGATGTCATTCTAACGTGATCATTTTACTGTATCATATACCGCGTTATGCTGAGTTTTGTTCGCAAGATCTAGTGAACTCACGGGGTTCTGACCTGAAAACAGTCGATAACAAATTACTTATGCAATTAAAGTTTTAACACTGCCACAATTATTTCGGGTTCGACACACGAGTATATGTTTTGAAGATACAAAACTGCCTATACTTTGTTCCATCTGTTTAAATTTGTAAACGAGACACCTTATTTTTCTTTCACATACTGGCTTTCTTGATTCAATCGAACGAACCGTGTAGCGTTTGTTTCTGTTTAATGCTTTTATTGTCGTGTTCACGAGCGTTCTATAAATAATGGAGAATTTTGTTCCGAGGTACTGTTTCGTAGAATCGAATATTCTTTCTGTATTCCTACGTATCTGTTACATTTACCATATCGTCACTTGACGACAGAGTAGAAACAAAGTAGATATTTGATAGACAACGGATTCGAAATCTCCGATCATTTAATAATTATCGTGTGTACACGTTACAGCGAGAAGATATCACGTTTCCATGGGGAAGATTATTGTGTTGGCCGCCTCAGCAGGCATTGGTGGTAGACCGAATGCATTCTGGTGCACGCCGTTTCGTCATCCTTGATTTTGGATCGCCTATACTACTTACCGATTTGATAATTCCTTCTTGTAGTGATTTAGCATCGTTATCAATAGATATATGGACGAAAAGTGAAGAAGTTGATGGTACGCGACTCATTGTAGCTACTGATATTGGGAATGAGCCATTAGTTGTGTGTGATCTTCAGCCACCACCTGTGTGCAGATTCCTTAAGGTACAATATTATAGCATGCCAATTTTTTTTACAATTCTATACAGAGTATTGATGTCAGTGGTGTTATATTTGCGTTTGTTTGTAGATTACCACCATAGGTCGGTATGGTATGTCTCCAACGATGTGTAAAATACCGTTAGGAACGTTCTATGGACACATGGTAGTTTTACCAGGAGAAGACTATGCAGAATTGAACACTGTGTCAGGTTTTGATAATTTCGATCCCTCTATACAATCCACGATCGATACGCAGTGCAACATTTTGTCTGCTCTTGCGGAAGATGTTCAGTGCAGGTAGTTTACAGACGCATCATAATCTTCAGTTGTTACGAACATATATCGTATACATAACTGTCGATATGTAATTGTTGTTTTAGATTTAGCTTAGCCACTGAAAGATTAAAGAGCCTACTAGATCCGCTGTTATGTTCGGAAACCACTAATTTTATGCACATGCAGCACTACCTCTGCTACAATAAAATTTCCAATGTAAATAAAGAGCAACCGTCTGCTAAAATATTGGCAACTTATCAAGTAAGTTGAACTGTAAACATCAGGTAAATGAACTGAGATTTAAATGAACACTATGCGCATGTCCAATGTTACAGGAGTGCATAATGTTCCAACATCAGTTGAATGTTGTACGTAGTGTATGGAGACGTTTGGAATCCTGGAAAGGTTCTCAGAATGTACCGTCAGTGCTTCTGGCAAATGCACCCACTGACAAATTACGAGTTTTAGGAGAGAATTTACTTGATATTCTTTTATATACAGTTTATGAAGTCGGACCTGTGCCCAGTGTACGTGTTTCTCTTCTTTTTTAGTATCACGATTGTCCTAATAGAATTTAAGATGAACATTACATTTTCTATAGATCCCGATGTCGATATGTGATGTTTTCACGCCGACAGTGTGTGAAAAATTATTCCACTCGATTTGTGTTGTTACACCAGCTCCACGCTTGCAGCTACACGTTGTTGCACTTTTAGCGCGTATGGCTGGTCATCAACCCTGGTGGGGTAATTTTCTGTCCAACACTTTGATCAATTTGTACTCGTCCTCGTCCACGCACATATTTCCTCAGGATAGGTACACTGCGAACTTTATCGTTTCTAAACAATCAAAGTCCAAAAGTGTAATGGGAAACAGTTACCGATTTGTTATTTATTTTCAGAGTATTTATTTTATTAACATTCCTTGGACGTAAATCATTGATCGCTGGTGTCAATAGATCTTCAGTGATAGACGCTATGGTTCGCACTTTAGGAAAATTATTGGCACCATTATCGACTCCTCAAACGTCTAATGCAAATCGTCTGGATGTAACACTCATTGGCTGGGTGCTACTCTTTTTGTCAGTCTGCTTAGACACCGTAGCCATTCCACCCCCTTGTTCCGAAGGGAGTAGCGACAAAATTAAAAATCAAGGTACATATTTTACGCATCTTTCGTTAAAATACTACAATGATTTCTAAGATTTTAATACCAAAAAATTTCGTTTGGAAGGATTTTCATCTCGATGGGAGTTCATACAAGGGGAGTCTGTAATGCAAAGAAAGTATGGCAGTGCCAATCAGTCTGCAGCTCCCTGTACTTACCGGAAAAAGTTACAGAAGCGTATAATGCAGCATAACCAACAGATTCAGGAGCTCGAACAAGCAAAGAAAGCGTTTCATCCGTCGTCGCAGGTAAAAATTTATTCTGTTCACAGTATTACAATAGCGGGGAAGGAATACGGCAATCATTAAATGAGAGTATATTATAGGGTTGGGAAAATCTCTCCTTGTACACCGCTTCGTTATGTAGTAAGATGGAAGCAACAATGAAGTCGCAAGAGCGCTATTACAAAAAACATTACACTGCGAGGCATTTCAAAGATCTTTTGATGGTTCGGAGGAATGATACGCCACATTCTACACGAACTTCACGAATCCCACCACAGGCTAACACAAGGTTGGTAGCGTAAGAATTTTCATTATACTTTTTGAACATCTAGCAGCCATTAACATCTTCCGATACATTTTAATAGTTCCAGTAAACCAGAAGTAATGGATTTGGACGTTGAGTATATATCTAACTTGTCCCATCAACATGTTCTGCCAGTGGCCCGTGGACTTATTGCTCTCATTTTGTGCAATTCTGCTAACGTGGACATGTTCTTGTTAGCTTGTAAGGTAAATAAATTTCGACCAGCCGTTTCTTGTCTGTATACGTTGTATTATTTGTCCCTCTGTCAGCCTGTAGAAGTGTATCGCGACTCAACATGTAGCTGTATCGTTCGTGCTTTTTTTGAACTGTCAAATTTATGCCTTATAGGTAGTCGCTAGGCTAGTGATATCTACACGTCCTGCAATTAGCTTGTGCGAGCTCATGAGCGAAGAACAGCTCTTAAAGTTAGTCAGATTGGCGACGGGTACCTCTGACGCTGCTTGGACATCGCATGCGGTCTCGTGTCTCTTACAGGATTTATTAGAAGGTACAGAAAACTTCTTGTTACATATTATATTAAGAAATAATTCTGTTATGCATCATTTGGATTTTCTTTATTTTTTTTCCTTCTTTTCTACTTTTCTTATTATTACTACTACTACTAATACTATTATTTCCACTGCTACGACTATTACTATTACTACTACTACATATTTAACTTGTATTTCCAAAAACGTGCTCTACGTTTGAAGGAAGATCATCGGAGGAGACCTTTGAGCCTCTTGTGACTGAAAAAAGCCGAACTACCGATGAGGAATGTGTTGGCGTAGCTGGAACAAGCAGTGCTACGGTTACTCTTAACAACGATGAAGAATTTACAGCAGTCGACGGGGAAGAAGATACCCAAGACAGTATAGTGGTACCTTCGGCAACCGCTTCGACGTCAAAGTCTAATGGGTTTCTTCCTTCTCTGTTGGAATCCGATGATAGCGAGGTCGAAGATTTCTTGGAAGATATATTAGAACGTGGTAGGAACTTGTTAAAGAAAGGCAACCCAGTATCCAAGACTCCGGCTAGTTCTAGGTATTTCTTACATGTTATCCATAAAGATTAGACCGTGATTCAAGAGAAAACGATTATTTGTATATTTTTGCAGTATTTCTTTGGCAATGGATGCAAGATTAGAGTATGGATTAGAAATGGGAATAGAGGTGCCGTTAAGGTTATTGTCTACTTTCGGCATGTACAATTTACCTCAAAGTATAAACGCCACGATGCATGTAAGTTGACGCTGTTTGCGTTTGATTTTCAGAATAATGTATATTCTACATGAAATCATTGATGTAATTTTCCTCAAAAGGTTCCAACAGAGTCCAATCGTTATTCGCAACAACCGTCATCCAGAGACACTACAGCTTCCAGTTTATTAATGTTAACCAGATGTTTTGATAAAATATTCACGGACTTATATTTACAGGTGAATCATCTAACGAAAACAAAATAATCTATTTAGACAATTTTCTGTTAATTCATAATTAACATTTTTTTATAATCATAGAATGTAGGAACAAACTTGGAACTTATTCTACAGCTGTGGTTAACATTCAATACGGATGCCTCTTCAGAGCATACTAATTCTTCGAATCAGTTTGATTCTTTATTAACACCTGTTATACCATTAAGTTCTGCAGCGATTTCCAGTCTTATATCTACGTTGTCGTGGTAAATATGATACGCGTTCAACTTAAAAATTATTCGAAGTATTTATAATGGCGTGTCCTGGTTGAAACCTTTCAGTTATTTATAACATAAAAATTATCGTTCAGGCATCCTGGAGTTTCTTTAAGAGCTTGGTGCCTTGCTCTCCAGTGTTTGACACTTGCAAGTAAACAGCCGCTAGAGGCAGACTCTACAGAAGCTACAAATAGTAAGCAGCCGTTAGACAGTGTTCTAGGTGGCATGGCTAAGTGCATTGTAAAAGATCGGAATCTCGGTCCCATGCTTCTGCGTTTACTATCTGGAAGCGGATTAAATATTAATGCTATGGATAAACAATATATCATGGTATGTGTATAATCTCTTGACAAGTCTTTTTGTCTTCGCGACAGTTTATAAATTAACATTGGGATTTTCAGGCTGGACCTATTGTTTGCCAAGCGCTACAAGATTTTCTAGTTAGGTTGAAAATGAGGTGCGATGTAATTACACCTGGTAGCTGTTTAGGAAACACATTGAAAGAGCTCTTATTGTGGGTGGTTTATCAGCTTGTGCAACCTGGTGGAGCTCTTTCTGCGAGACGAGGACCGTTGGACGCACAGTATAAACTTATCACCTCTTTAACGAATTTAAACTTTGCCAATATGGATTTAGGAACTGCAATGAGTGTAACTGAATGCGTCGGAGTATTAGTTTTTACTTATGTCAGAGGATCTGGAGGTAATTTTTAAGAATTGTACATCTTGGATCTACAAATCTTTGCACATAATAACCAAGAATTATTTCTCCCCTAAAATATAGTCGGTGCGCAATGTGGTAGTACTGTGGATTTGGCGAATCCATCTGGCGGATTCTGTGGCTTATTCGCCTGTGTGTTAGGCGGAGACACGAGGCAAGGCCGTCCAGCCTCCTGGGACACCTTAGTCGTGGCTCTTATCAAATTAGTGTGTCGACTTGTTCAAACCCCTCTGCCTAATGTGTGTATTCTCATTGCTTAAACTATCCTGTATTGTGTCCTGTACGTTGATACATGTTTTCATGTTTTAATATTTTTTATTCATAGACTTGTGCAGGTCGATCCGACGGCGCAACAGGAATCGATTTTTCCGATGCAGGTCTCAGTTCAACGAGTGACATTAACGATACTCCGATGAAAATAAACATTTCGCAGACCGATGAAAGTAAAGTGGCGGAACAGCAATCTTCGTCCCGCATGCAGCAATCCTCGTCCAATAAGCCTAACGTACGCTGTGTTGCAGACACTGGTGAGGGAATAAATCAGATTTATCTGTTATTAATTTTTCAATCTGATCTTAATTACTGTATATTTACTTTTAGTTCTACAACACGAACCGACCATGATGCGATTACTAGGAGCACTCGGTTACAGTACTGGTTCTTCCTTAGCTATGCTTTTAGGCAAGAGCTCCGGAGCAGGAACCACGACTGAACTTGATGACATGGCTTCAATCCCAGATGCGACATTTCAACTCTTGACAACGCTTACCAAGAAAGCGAGCAATCGTTCATTAGTTCTCAATCCACTCTATCAATATCTCTCTTCCTGTAAGAATCGTTTAATTGAGAAATTCTTAATCTTAGATATACATATTATATAAATTCACGTTGAACTATAATGTTGCAGCCTCAGGACAGAGAGAGCTGGATCGTCAGTTAGGTGTCATGCAGTTGTCCGAACCCCTTCTCTGGTATATCTTACGGGTTTTAGACAATGAAGTGTCACTGACAATGTTCACAGCGATGGGTGGTGTGAAAGTACTCTGCGAGAATTTAGTAAAATCAACCAACGGTGGCAATAATAGCTCTGCATCACCCTGTGTGATTGCGTTGGTTATGGAACACCTCTCGAATGCCCCTAACGTTATACCAGCGGCTTCAACGAGCAGTAAGAAATCCGTTAATACGTTGGAGACTCATGATGATGGTTTGTTAAATTTCGCCCCCCTGGGCACCATCTCCTGGCTGAACCCTACTGCACAACCGGCAGAAGTTCTGATACAAAATACCACGCCTCAGAAACGGGCGAGAACAGCCGCGTGGTTGTATCATTGCTACCCTGACGAGGCATGGGTGGAACTTACGATTACTTTACCCTGTGCTGTATTGTTAAGGAAGGTCGAGTTGCAGCCGCATGTCACGTCGCTAGCCAGTAAGATGAATTAGTATTCCGTGTATATGTATAACGACGTGACAATACCAGGCAACTTGTGTATTTCTCACCGTAAATGTATTTCGTGTTTCTAGCATGCCCGTCAGCTGTAGCCATTGAAGTTTCACGTGAAAGTAACAGCCCCTTGACACCTGTTTGTCCACCAATGCCAACGGCAGGATTGACGTTTATATGTATCACGCTATCACAACCGGAAGTAGCTACTTCTGTGTTAGTGCGATTATACAAACCACGCGATTCAACGAACATAAGTTTAAGTCAGATTAGACTGTTAGGTACAACGGCGTTCGGTGAAATAAAAACGAGTCACGACACCATAGACAAGAAACAATTGACAAAGACGAGGTAATTTCTTTCATTCGTTTTAAGTATAGCTCGTTAGAATGTTAATCATTAGTATAGTACGAGTGTCTAAAAGATGATCGTTTGTACATATACTGTTGTATCTCTTCAGCTCGGGTTGGTTACGATTGCTGCATCAGTGCCTGTTTTTAAGCGCGTTGAACAGCAATCTTGCTGTGAAGGTGCTAAATTCTGCGGCGTCAGTCGAAGGATTGGTGGAGGCATGCTGTAACCTCTTGTTACTCTCAGCACCGTCTCTTTTTACTCCGAATTTGGAGACAGTTTTATTCCGACTAGGCTTACACTCTCGAGAGCTTGGATTACGCCTGATTGGCCTCTTACTGAACAACAGATCCACTCCTTTTTTCAAAGGTGAAAACTGCTTTTCCACTGGAAAGAAACTCCATTTTCCTTGTGAAAACATATATTTGGACATATAAATATTGAACAAATTCTGACACTTTTACAGGTGCCGTGGCTACTCAAGAGACTTCGACAGTTCAGTTGGTTGTAGAATTGCTTAAACAACTCTGTACCATTCAAGACTCGTCCACTGAAGCCCGCATTATCGCGGTGCTTTCGTGGCTTCAAGCTTCAGCTTTGAATGGAGCTTCACGGCTCAGCAATGGTCCTAACGCCATCAGCCCGCCCGCTGTGTATATACACTGTGTGTCTTCCATTATATGGAAAGCCCATCAACAGCAGAATCTCAACTACGATCTGCAGGCATTGTTAACGGACGAGCTTTTCAAGTATGTCTGGTTGTTGTTCGACATTACCACGTATATCAGTAACATATTGTAGAAATTTAAGTTCAAAATATTCTTTCTACAGCGCTTTGTATCAGTGGACTCTGACATTGGATACGGGTTCGGCTTTGAAACAGGCGATTGATTCTGCTCTTTGTGCATTCTGCTACGTGAGACCGACACTTTTCCCTTTGCTTCTACAAAGGGTACAAATTTTGGTACCTAACCTAGCAACGGATCACTCTGCGTCTATATCTGACGATAGGAAGGAAAGAGATGGACAGACTGATGATAGAAAGAGTGAAATTAGTGGCGAGGAATGGTACTGTCGTTACGTATTGTCCGAGTATAAGCGGTTGAATTTGACAGAGGGACAGTTACTTACTGTTGCTGCAGCAGCACGATCCCCGCCGGGTATTCAACAGCTGATCGACTCTGGGCTTCCTGCTCTGTTAATCGCATCGATCACTGGTAAGACGTTGAAAGAACTATATTAAAAAGATACGCTACGATTGCTAACAAACACTGTGTCTCATCTGTAGATTTTTGTGCCTTGGAGGAGTCAAAGCGACTACAGCAACAAAGTAAAAGATCACCATCAGAGGGTTATTGCCAAAGCAATTCCGTAGGCGGTACACACTTAACAGATAGCGATAAAGCTGGCGAAACGTCTACGCAGTCGAATAATCATTTCGGTAAACGGTTCTATTTTCAGTAAATACTTTTTCATGATTGATTTCTATAGTCTCTCTGTTAATAACATAACGATGATTATTGCTTAGATGGTTTATGTTTGACGGAGCCAGAAAGCATAGCGATTGTATTAGAGTTCTTGACCCTGGTATGCTCGGAAGGTAGAATGCGCGATTGGCTTGGGAAAGAGGGCCGTGGCTTTTGGTTACCTCTTCTTTCACTCCTTAGCAATCGACCTGTAGAGAGTCCATCTGTATCTTCATCAAGGTAGATAACTACAGAAATCAACATTATAGCAAGTGGATTTAGACACTACAAATGTTTCTGTATGGTCTTGTAGATGTTCTAAGACGAGCATCTCGTATGCCTCGTTGGAAAGTGCCATGATCAAGTTCTTATCCAGGTGTTGTTGGTGCCACCTTGAGAATCAAAAACTACTGGCTAAACTATTGACCGATGTTATTTCTCAACAACGAACAACTTCTAGTAATTTTCTTCCATTTATTTTCGAGAACAGTTACAGATTTTATTCACTTAATATATTCACGTTGTCTTTTTGCATAGATGCGCGATACCTTCACGGAATTTCGGGTTTCACGAGACGGTTGATTCTGCAATTATTGCTGGAGGGTGAAAAGGTGTTGGTGTCCGTGACTTCGGAAGCACCCGTGAAAGTTTCGAATACGGCGGCCAATTACAGTATGCCATCTATGCCGCCACATCCGGCTCATCCGCTTGGCCATTATCATCAGCTATTGTACATGTCCACGCAATCAACTGTAGCGGATATATTACAACAAGTATCGGGTAAGTTTATATTTCATGGCGCAATAATCAATGTTCGAATAAACAGTTAACCTTGTGTATTTGTTCGAAGGCACTTGGCTTCTTCTCTTGCTACCAAATACATATAAGGCTAATGAAACTGGATCGAGCAGTAATCGATCTAGAGAGCTTTGGGAGTCCGGCATGGCCTTTATAGTTGATACACTTAGCGTTGCCGCGGGAAATACAGCGAAGGACAAAAGGGCCAAAGAAGCGTCAAACAGATCACAGGCACGTGGTCCTACTGTCAGAAAGTCCAGAATGAATTCTGGTAAGTTGTCATACGGATTGCTGTCTTCTAAGCTCTTTTATTGCGGTGCTCATGTAGTAAACATCGACAGATGGATCGTCTAGTACAAACAAACCGTCGAGCAATAACGTGCAACAGAATCCTAGTAGTTCCGCTAATCACCAATATCTGATACACGCGTCACGACCAAATATTCCGTTACCACCAAGATTGACCATAGCTCAGCTGCTAGCTATTGCCGAAGACAGTGGAATATCATTGTCAGAACCTTGTCTGCATCTCATATTACGTCAACGCAATCAAGATCCAAAAGGTATTCTAACAAGACTAAATTATTCAAAGAATCTACACTGAACAGAACCAAGTACACGTAAGTTATCTTGTATATTTTTTTTTCAGACGACCTAACGAAACAAAATGAGATCGATTTGTTAAACTACAGGAGTATAGAGAGCTCGTTAGGTGTGTTCAGCGCCGGCGGTGGTTTGGCGGTATTAGCACGACACTTGCCTTTGGTGTATCCAGATTCTAGAAGACCACCGCCGGTAACTGAGAAGACCCCGTCACCAGAGCAGACATACGCGGACTGGGTTAAACTAGAAGGCAGCGATGACATGTTCGAAATCATAGAAGAAGGCGGAAGCAATTCGTCTCCACAAACATCGTCTCCCGCGCCCTATGTGCCTCCACATTCCCTCGTTGCCTTTGGCTTGTTCCTTAGACTTCCGGGTTACGCGGAAGTACTACTGAGACACCGAAAACGTGCACAGTGTCTACTGCGTCTTGCCTTAGGGGTATCGGACGACGGTGAAGGTGGGGACGTGTTAACATCCCCGTGGGCCGCCTCGTTGCCGACCTTGCCATTTCAAGTATTAAGACAAGTACTTGACGCCACGCCGCCGACCACCGACGATGGTCTTCTCTTGCGCAAGACAACCATCGAAGTTGGCGCCATGCTGCTTCTATTGAACTGTCTGGCGATTTTCACTCATCAGGCAACTCAAAACGAGAATACAGATCCAAAAACAAACGGCAGTCAGGGCGAAGCAGGACGTAGCGACGATAATTCGCATTTGTACTGGGCAAAGGGTACTGGATTCGGTACCGGTTCCACCCAACAATCGTGGAACATCGAACAAGCTTTGCTGCGGCAAAGGTCCGAAGAGGAACATGTTACAGTATTATTGGAGGTCCTTGCCAGTTACATAGGGCCGGGTGGCCAAAAGCAGAGGGAATTACCGGCACCTTTTCCCGACTTGTTAGCTCTGTCGTGTTTGCTGCCGGCTTTGTCCTCGTATTTAAGAAATGACTCGGTGCTTGATATGGCCAGGCACATACCTTTGTACCGTGCGGTATTGCAACTACTCCGAGCTATGGCTCGTTCGAATCAGTTGGCTCCGCTTTTGCTACCGAAGGGCGGGAAGTCTAGCGAACCATCCGTAGTGTCCCTTTTGTCTAGTATGAAGGTTTGTGTGGACATATACGTCCACAAGATCAATCGTACAAGGGGCAACAAGTCGAAGACGTTATTCAAATATCCGGATGACACCGAACAGGATGAAGGTTTAGCTACGTTGATCCCTGACATTCAGGAGAGCGCTACCATAGTACAAAATGCTACAGCAAGATTGTCAGGGATGGAGGAAGATATGCCTGGACCCAGCCCGACAGGACCAGAATTACCACTACGCTCAGTCGAACAACGATACTTGGAAGTTATGAAGAATCTGCAATTTGGTAAGAACAATATGACTCTGTCAGGGCTCACCTCTGAAGTCTTTTTCCCTTTGATTACCGACTCAGTATGATTTCATGTCTGCTTATCTGAAATTATAGATACGTTCGAAATGATTACTGAGAACCCAGAGTCTGGTGGATATAAATTCGCCGTTTCGTATCATTTCGAATCTAACATGAGAGCAGCCGGCGAGAGGAGTCATCCTACCAGGGTTAAGCGATTGGCACAAGAGGCTGTCACCCTTTCTACAGCATTACCTTTGTCATATAGTAGTAGCGTATTTGTTAGGTGTGATGCGGACAGATTAGACGTGATGAAGGTATGCATTTGATTTATGGCGTCGAGCTTAAATTAAAATACATTTAGCACTGTTTAGACTTTGGAAAACGCTTTTTTACGTTTCGTTTTAGGTTTTGATAACAGGACCAGCGGAGACACCGTACGCGAACGGATGTTTCGAATTCGACGTGTACTTCCCTCCGGATTATCCTAACAGTCCTATGTTAATAAACCTCGAAACCACTGGTCGGCATACAGTGCGATTCAATCCTAATTTGTACAACGATGGAAAGATCTGTCTGAGTATTTTAAATACTTGGCACGGACGTCCCGAAGAAAAATGGAACGCGCATACTAGTAGTTTCCTTCAGGTGAATAGTATTAGAACAGCGGGATTATGATTTTCTGTTGTATATAGTTTAAGCAAGTATTAAGTATCATTTATTTAAAAAAAAAAAAACAGGTCTTAGTCTCGATACAGTCGCTGATTCTGGTATCGGAGCCGTACTTCAACGAACCAGGGTATGAACGGTCACGAGGCACGACAAGCGGAGCTCAATCTAGTCAAGAGTACAATGCAAATATTTGTCAGGCTACCGCAAAATGGGCGATGCTTGATCAAATTCGTAATCCATGCCCCTGTTTCAAGGAGGTAATCACATTGCGCAATAGTCGACACGTTTTCTCCTTTTTAATAAACAATTTCGTTTACACGTACATATATTCTGAAACGTTATAGATTATATATACTCACTTTTGGATAAAGAGACATGAAATCGTCGCACAATTAGAGGGATGGATAAGGGATATGGAAATGCATGGGTCAGATCGTAGGTTTGGCCGCACCCTTTCCCTGAACGCTTTAGCTTTAAGGGTAAGTAACTCGACCAAACATTGCATTGTCGAATTTTCCTACATGAAAAGTTTATAATTGGGTATACATGTTTCAGACGCACTATAGATTATTGAGAGAAGAGTTGAACAAACTGCCAACTCCCGAGGGTTTAGAAGACCTGGTAGAGCCACTTGCCTCTCCAGGCTCGCCCATTGAGTTGTCCGGCAACCTGGACACCCTGAACACGCCACCGACCTCGACGGCACCCCCGACCACTATACTATCCGCACCGATAGGTAATTCTATTGTTTCTATGAACAACGCCAGTGCCAGCAATCACGTTCTCCACGATATCGATACGGACGTTGAGATGGAGAAGATGGTTTCAAAAGTGTGTGAATAGCTACCGGATGTTAATAGACATTGTTGGACATTTTGAAAAGTCTATATTGTTTGTGTTATGACGGACAAATAACAGACTGACCGAGGGTGGCGGAGAATTTTATTACCGTGTCGAATTTCAGATGATTGACGGATGATTAATCGAATGAAAGGTTATAGTAACGTTTTCGGTTAAACGAACGACGATATCGATGAGGAAGATGAATCAGGAGGGATTTAGGAAATAAATGTATGTGTGGTGTGCGTGTGGGTGTGCGTGCTGTCTGTCCTGTCTGTCTGTCTGTCTCTATCTATCTATCTATCTGTCTCTATCTGCTGCTGTTGCTGCTGCTGTGTGTTGCGTTTTCGTGCGTGCGTGTAGAAGCGCGATGGAGAGGACACATAGTAAGAGAAGTGCGATTGATTGCGAGCAAAACGTGTAAAGACAAAAAGTGTGCACGTGTGAAGGTAGAAGATATGGAGACAGAGAGAAAGAGAGAGACAGAGAGAGAGAGAAAGTAGAGAGACTGAATTGGATAGAAAGAAGGGGAGCGTGAGATCTAGCCGACGATTATAAAAAGTTAGTATGAATGTGACAAACTCGTATGTAGTAGATACTATCTGTGGCTGCTGCTATGCTATATGTATGCTGCATTCTACTACTTCGTATTACTATAAGTAACAACTGTTATTCGATATTTATTGTACGTGTTCCTCGTTTATGTAGCCGGTACCCTCTACTCGCAATGCGATCGATTTTAAATGAAGAGAACACACGAACAGCGAACGGGACGATTTTAAAGTGACGTTACACTGTATACAACAACGAGGCAAAATTCGTTAGTTGTCAAGAAACGATCGCGATATCGCACGAACAAACACAATCGAATCAAAGAATATCTCGAGTACATTGTTTGACGTTTAGTTTCCATTATTGCTGGCGATTACGTTACCGTTTATTTTATTTTATTCGAATCCAAAGCTCGTTTCAGTGTACAAACTTGACTCAGCCGTTTAGCTCAACGTCGCATTGCACACGATTCCGCGAATAGAAAACGATGCAAAAAATTGCTCCATAACGCATGATGCAGTTAGCAGTTGATACGTGTGCGGAGTGTGATTTAATATTTATCGTGCTGGTATCGATCACGATCCGCGCTGTATTTTTTACGAGAAATAAGAGTAGGAACGTGTTTGGCTTGAAACCGATCGCTTATCTTTCACCAATGAATTCCTTTCGACGGACGCATCGGGACAAGACGCATCAACGAAGTGGCCTCTCTAAATGGATTCGAGAATTACGCTATAGAACGATTACGCGTTCGAGTTTTCTTCCCATCGAATTCTTGTTTCTTTATTCCTATGTTCCTTCTTTTTTTTGTTTCTTTTTAATCGACACGAGTAGCGCCGCTCGATAGCAAACGAAGAAGGGTAAAAGTGAGTTGTACACGGTCCAACATTTGATTGCAGAGAAATGAACAAAAACATTGGACATTCGGATGATCCGAAGCACCATTTGTTGCATTTTGACACGATAATTCACGTGAACCGATGATGCCATCACCGGCGGCCGCGACGCACCGCCAATGCAGCGCAGCGAATCTCTGGACCGGCGCGAGTCTCCACGTAACGCGATCGTCGCGACGCGGATTTCTACTTGTATCAACTAGTATTTCCCTTTCTTTGTCAGCGAATAATTACGGTTTAGCTGTAAAATTACTGGTTGAAAAATTACGCCGCCAGTGTCAATGATCGTTTTGTCTGTAAATAATCGTCACACGAGTAATTGTATCGCATTAAAAGTAAATGTTTGTAATTCCGAAGTAACTGGATAAAAATGCTCCGATGTAACGTATACTATTGCATGGATTCCTAAGCAATGAACGAAGCGAAGCACACGTAACAATGATGTACGTGGCAGGAGAACGTGTTAATAGTTATTTATAATAAACGAATATTACCACGCCAACTCGGACGATTTATCAGTCGTTGTACTAGATTGTAACGTGTAAATCGATTTTTTGGTACACGGCATACCTTTAAGTACCGTGCTTGCCCGAACTTTACTTATTATTTGAGACAGCATTGTTAATAATATTGTCTTTCTACCGTTCGGTATGTTTCCCTCCTTTCCCTATTTTTGTGGAAGGGAAACGCAAGATTTATTCGGCCATTTCCTGCAAGATATATGTCGGCAATTTTGCAGACTCGCTGGGCGCGAACGCACCGTGATTTATGTTGAAATTCCGCGGCTCGAAATTAGAAAAATCGCGAGTCTTTCGGTCGATTCACGTGCCAATTTGTCACGGGACCTATGCTCGGCCGTGCCGACGCGGAAAATCATTCCCACCGTACGTACAGTTCCCGTATGTTGCGCTCCTCGCGGAACATTAAATTTTCAGAAATTCCGCGAAATCCAAAGCGCTGCAGACGATTGCTGGAAATTGAACTTAGCTGTAAAACAGCCATATACTACCTGGAACTGCAGATTACTTTACCTTCAACGTCATTCTTTATACAGCACACGCACACTTGCAATTCTTTTTACATCTAATGCTACCTTCAATTACCTACATTCAATGTTTCATCGCATGTAGTATATGTTTTTTAATTATTTTAATTATTTACAAAATAATTGTTAATACGTATTTACTATCTAGAAGCTGTAGGTGCTCGAACGATGCCCCTCAACTTCGATACACTGATTATTTTGTAAATATCTTGTTATCTATTAGGTTTATGACATATGAAGGTCAACACATTTTTACTCAGAATTTGATACTCTATCGATACATGGTACAAAAAGTAGGTCGCTCCGTTCAAAAAAAGTCAAGGTGACCTTGAAATCTAAAAAATGTACATTATTCGAGGTGATCAAGTTAGCTGAGACACCCTGTATATATCGTTATTCAAACACATCGTTTATTAAACGTTATATACATACATATATACACGTGTTATGTTTCTGTTATGGATATGTTTAATAAACGATGTGTAAGTAAATCATCATTAGTTACATACTCGATCGGTCTGGCTTTTCTGGGGTGTAGGGGGTGAAATGTGCCTTTGAAAGTCTCACGAACCTTCCAAAGGGCCGATGAAAGTTCTCGAGAGATTCACCGAACAGCCAGACAAGCTTTGCTCGTTTCGAATAGCTCAGAGGCAAATTCTCTTATGCAAAGACGGAATAAAGCTGCCGCGTGTTTGCACTCGAACAGCCCGTTGCGTCGTTGGTGCTTGGTTCTAATGGGCCGATCGTTGGGACGATTGCGAGCGTCCCTAATTGACGTCTACGTATCTCGATTGCTATCGCGGGGGAACGTTGAACACGGGTTATCGCGGTTTATTTCGCGACGAGCGGTACCCGTGTGCACCGTGTAGCATTTCCACGATGATTCTGCCAGATGCATCGTGTACAAAGGAAAGAGGAGGGTCTTTCCCAAAGAGAGAATAGCTTTGTTCCATAGAAGCCCGAGTGCTTATTGAGACAGAAAGCAAAGAGGGAAGTTGAGCTCGGTTACTTTCCTCGAGGACGAACCACGTGTCGTGTTTACGACTGACTGATTGTGAGTGGAAATTTAGAATTGCTGAAACATTCGATTAACCATAAAATCACAGGTATTAACCCCTTGCCATACGAGTTTTTGCACGACTTCACTCTCAAGAATTACTTCATCGTGTTAGAAATATAATTTGAACGAGACACGTGCTTTCAGTTTGCTTTATTTTTCAATTCTCCTTGCTTTGTCTCCTTGACCCGTATTTATGTTCCGTTCGCACTCCTTCCTCTTCCCTTTCACACATCATTCGTCCAATCACTCACACCTTACCTATTACTCGATCTCATTCGTTCTAACATACGAGTTTTTTTCACGACTTCACTCTCAAGAATTACTTCATCGTTAATATTTTCCCCGATACTAAAGGAATTCTATTCTTATGGCAAGTGTTATATTTATTCTAAACCTTAAAAGTTAATCCCAGCGAAACAGTATTTGACGTCGACTCAAAGAAAACGAATAATACGCATGTTCGCTAAATTCAGTTTGAAATCGTTATCATCTCTCTGACTCGATGTTGTAAGACAAGCGAATATTTCGCGTTGGTTTGTGGGGGCCTTTATCATGTTTATTCTTCGGGTTATGTATCGTGTCTTTTGTTCGATCTTGGCACTTGTACACGGTGTGGTCTGATTTATAACGTTCCTGGACGTGAAATTTCATTCGTGGCAGTGCACCGTACGAATACGGCAGTTTCTATACTGAACGGTGGCACGTGCACTCGACCACTCGCAGCAGATGTGTGCAGCTTGCATCCATTTGAATGTTGCATCGAGTCTAGTCGCGTGTATAGTCGAGCAGATTCGTACAATTAAATCAATGCTGCAAGCATACCCATCACGGAATCCGTTACCGCACATTCGTCATCGTTTTAGTGTACTTCCTGTAATTTCCACTCGTTCCCGGCGATTTCTTTATCCCGGTTGTCACCGAATGTCGGAACTGTAGCGGAGAAAAATGTTTCTTGCTCGGAAACAGCGTCGAATTCCTAGTATCGAGTACGTAAAATAACCAAACGCATCTGGGTTGAGTCGAAGCGGTTAAAGTAAACTATCTATGGACCTGGATGCTTTTTCAAACCGCACAGAATCGTGTCTATCGACTCGGGTTTCTGTAAACCTTGTTTTACCTGGCCGAATTAATTAAAATTTGACATGTTTGAATCTGATATGTGGAATCGGCGTACATATGTAGATGATGATTTGTCATTATAGTATCGTAATCGGGTCACGTTAAATTAATTTCGTAACTGTCCAGTGCATTAACTAGACGACGGATCGATCTCAATTAACAACGAAAGCTGGAATACCGGATGAACAAATCGATACGACAGGTAGTCGCGTAACGGCATGAGTTTTTATTCATTTCGATAACTAAATTACAGCTCGTCGATGAAACTTGTATTCGTAGCCGGCCCATTAAATCGGCGCGTAAACGGTTTAATTATTTATTTTCACGCGAGCCCCGATGCTTGTAACTGGCGTTGGTCCCGCGAAGGGTTCGTGAAACGGGAATAAATTCGGCGTGTGAAAAGTTGGAAGCGTCAGGAAAACGGGCAGGAATTCCATCGGGAAAATGTTGACGCAACGCACAATGCATACTCGCGTCGAGCCGAGTAGTAGGAGAGTGTTTTGAAAAGCCGTCACCGTGGAGTGATCGAGGAGTATAAGCGATCCCGTCCGCGTCAGATGCAGGTGCGTCGTTAATTGTCCTTCAGCACTACTCCATCCTTGC